ACCCCTTTAGTGTTTTTCCTCCCCCCTCCTCCTCCTCCTCCCCTCCTCTCCTCCCCTCTCCCTCCCTCCCTCCCTCCTTCTCCTCCTCCTCCCCCTCCTCCTCCCCCCTCCTCCTCCTCTCTCTCTCCTCTCCCTCCCTCTCTTTCTCCTTTTTTTTTTTTTTTTTTTACATCTCCAACATTGGCCACAAATCAGGCACAGTTTCTATTGGGGGGGACTTGAAACCGTCCTCTGTTGGATTTTTTTTTTTTTTCCCCTCCTCAGCCGCTGTTCCGCAGGCCTGCTCCTCCTCCCTCCGCTGCGCGAACGGCGGGGGCTCCTTAAAGGGAAACACACACTTCTTGTTTACTGACCTCAGAAACATGAGGAGAGAAGTGTGTGTGTGTGTGTGTGTGTGGGGGGGGGGGGGATAGGGAAAGGCATGCCGGGTAAAGGCTCTGCTCTTGAATATTGCCAGCTTCTTTTCAGGAGGCTGGAAATGGTCGGGATTGGGTTTTTTTTTCACCCTTTAAGAGACATTCCAGGACTCCGACTCGTATTCCTGGGACTCTGACTTACACCAGTTTGTGATGAAAAGGGCCGGTTCGTTTAAATAGTCCGGTTCATTTCCTTCACCTCCACACTAGTGAACTGACTCGTGAGCGACTAGCGAGTTCACTACGATACACACGAAGGTCTCTTAGCTTTTTTTCTTTTTTTTTTTTAGTTTAGTCAGTCGCTGCTCACTTCAACAGCACAGACACCGAAGACTGGCTCACTCGGGGTTCGGTTTATTGGGTTTGGGCTCAAGGTTATTATCCTTAACTAAAACTAAACTTAAAACTAAAACATTTAACTTACTTTATTTAAGGGATTTAAATAACGACATCTAGTGGTAAAATTTCAGATTGCAACCAATTTAAATACAGCTCAGTCTTTCAAGCATAGAGGAGAAACTATGGTGTCAGTGAAACTCACCAAAACCACAAAAGGCCCTGTCTAGAGCCAGTGTTTGGTTTGTCCGTTCTGGGCTACTGTAGAAACATGGCGGTTCAACATGGCGGACTCCACAGAAGAGGACCCGCTCCCTCTGTAGATAAAAACGGCTCATTCTTAGGTTACGAAAACACAGCAGTTCCTTTATTCAGGAGACTAAACACTACTGAGAACATATAATAAATATTATATTATATTTCTGCCAATTGATCCTCCTAAATGTTACACACTTGACCTTTATGTAAAATAAAACCTAGACTAAACGAAAACTAACTGAAGCAATATTGTGAACTTAATAACTAAAATAAGATAAAACAGGAAATGTTTTATTCTTCAGTTTGTTCAACAACATCAAACATAAGGAGGCAATAGTGCATATGTTTAATGAGACTAGGGTGTCACAAAGTGTTGGGTTTGTATTGTAATAGTCTGTTCTGAATTAAATATTGCCCCTAACAAATGCCCTTGCATATTATAAACTTATACTAATTTTTAAAAAATAACAATTCATTTGTAAATCTAATGGCATTGCTGCAGGAAGTAGGCTACTTTAATGTAGTGGCAGGCTAAAAGGACACCTCTAAAGGTGTTTTCAGACTACACTGTGTTCTGTTATTTGCATGAATTTGACCCCTGGAGTTATGTTACGTCACAATTTAAATCCAGTGGCAACGTTCAGTGTCAGTTCAGGAAGTATTGTGCCCCTTCAGCAAGGCGGAAAGGTCAGGGTGGTGGATGGACGTGGACATCTGACGTACTTGTGGAAGTTTGTGTTTCTCTCTAACAGACCTGCAGTTAATGTTAACCACAATCTACCATTTTTGTTTCCTAAACTACTGTATCTTAAACTTAAGTGTTTTGGCTTTACATTCAACCAAACCTTAACCATAGTTTATTACCACAATGTTCCCACTACCTCAAGTATGCAGTAGTTGCATACAAAGATGTTACACAAATGAATAATTTAAAAAACATTAGCATCAAAAGCCCTATTCGCATGGGACTAGTATAGTATAGTATAGTATAGTATTTAGTAATTACCCCACCATGTCTGTGTTTCGTGCGGTGCATTCGCACAGGATAAGCGAAGTCTGTGTTTTAACTCAAATTTACTGACATTATCCCCCGGATATGATGTCAAGGCTCTGCGTAACCTATGTGTAACAATAAAAAACCTAATAACTGGTGAGCCTGTTGAGAGATAGAAAAATGTTCCTTTCCGCATGCTGTCATGCATGTAATCCATCTAATCATCTTTCGAGATTTCGCTCTTCTGATGGATTTGAGCTTGCTCTTTCCGCGAACGGGTCTCCATGCTGTGTACCTAGATGAGCCTCCTGAATTTGCACTCAAAATGCTGTCAAAGCTTTCATTTATAATTGCCAACGCAGCCTCCATAATTCTCGACCGGGAAAAAGGTGTGGAAAACACACCACATGACCTCTGTGTTTGGCGAAATATGGCGGTGGAATTTTTACTTTTCAAATTACGGACATGGCAGATTCGCACTGGATTAAGATCACAGACAACCTCCGCAATTATTACAAATTACTAGAGGTCCCCAGGTAATACTAGTCCCCGAATAGGTTTTGTCTTTTTTGTGCCAACTGTTTGCCAGCAGCTAGCTACCTTCTGTATGACCGTGTGCAGGGAAATCATGGGCTGATCTCTCCCTTTGCGTCAACCTCATCCATTATTTTTAAATATCAGGACAACTTGTGTATTTTTGCTTCATATTTGGTTTCTCATATCACTGGATTTCATTCAGTCATGGTCACCATTCACACCACGACAACCACACATTTACCTTCGCAGGGACTGTTTACAAACCTGATGACCTATGATATCCCCAGATCGAGCCCCTTCCACAGGACACATGGGGTTGTCACAAGTACCACATATTGAGATCCTATTTGTTGGACCACCATCCAATTGGTGGTCTGGGCCTCGTTCTATTAGCACTGTGTGTACACGAATGTGTCCTGAGACACATTAAAGGACCGCCCACTCATCTGACATCCTCTGTCTAAGGTGGTGAAACACATAGAGATATATTACGAGTGCGGCAAACATCAATTTGGTTCACAAGGAAGTGGATTTCTTTTATTTCTTTTATTTTGAAACTTCTTTTTGTCTTAATTTCTGGCAGACGTGGCACAGGAAGCACATTGCTGCCTCCTGTGAAGTGAGATCTGACGTACTTAGAGCTGTCCACTAAGATACCTTTAATGCCAGGTGTAAACAAGGCCACTGGTCCCCTCTTCATCAAGCCACCCATTTTACACCTGTGGATGAGACCCTGATATTGATGTGGGTCATCTATACAGGTCATTGGACACAGCAAAACATTTTCTCACCAACTCTCACTTGACCCATGCTTAAAGTAAAACCGGCAGGCGCTTGCAACTGCTTGAGAAATGTTACCAGTATGGATCACTGGTGCCAAACTGGTATGAGCACTAGGCCTTTATAATGAATAAGGTGGGTTTTAGTGAAGCTCTTATTGATTTTTATTTATATTAGTGGGTGTTTGTCTGATGATAACCACTGACTGAGTTCACGGTTTATTCACCTTTTTATTCCCAATGATTCGACTCAAACTGAGAAGTAATCCTTGTTGTTGTTGTCTGGTCAGAGTACAACATACCACACAAACAGCTCTGAGGTTTACTTTACTGAATCTGCTTTCTGAGCAGCAAAGGACACATGATCTTTTGTTATTCTGATGATTAAAAAATCAAAAATGAGCAGGTTGGATGTGGATCCAGAAGTGATTAGTTAATCAAGGGCGTTCTTGGTGAACACAGGGGAGGCTTAAGCAGCAGTCTCCCGTGCCAAGTCATACTCACTGCTCTGCATAGAGAGCGGTCGGCCCACAGTTGGAGTGCAGCTTTCTGCTGTACATTTCAAGTCTCGCACAAGGCCGCAGTCCTGATGAGATCTTTAGCTGATTTCTTGTTAGCTAAAAGGGGATTGGTTATTATCTTTCATTAAAACTCTGACACCCCAGTGACCCGAGGGCAACCCACTTTCCCTGGCACCTCCGACTCCAATTACAAAGCGGTTGTAAGGAGGTGGCACGCTGGTTGTTCCATATCCCTGAAAGTGTCCAGCTCTGTATATATAGCATCTACGATTGGCTAAAAGTAAAGTTAGAGATATTTAAGATGGTTGTCAGGTTTACTATATTAGGTTTACTGCTCACAGAGCGTATGATCCTGTGCTGGCTACAGGAAGGAGACCAGATCGGCATATATAAAGGGGTTATGATGGTTAATATGCAATCTTATGTTGTGTTATATATTTGTGCTTAAAGGGGTACTCCACCAATTTTGTATTGAGCTTTTATAAAGCTGGGGATTTCACTATGGACAGATTTGAGAAAAGGACGATCAAACTCAAAGTGGTAGAGATATTCCTTGGTCAAGCTCCCATAATGCAACTAAACTGCATGTTTCATTAGACCCGTCCCGCCCTCTTTCAAACCCCACAGCTCCATTTCTGACTCAAGCCCAAGCCGAGATGACCCTGATGACATCTTGAGGGAGTGTCCCTTTAATTTAGTTCAGTTTGTTGTGATTTGTTCTAATTTTGACATCGTATTGATCAAAAAAACTGAATGTGATTCAAATGTGTAAAAAAAATAAACATGATTAAACTTTATTTTTATATTGTATATACTGCAAGTTGAATGTACACCGAAGAATATGAGCTGGTCACATATTTTGAAAAGCTCCAATTATTTAATTGTATCACTAACTATATGACAACACTTGGTGTTTTTTTAAGTTTCTTGCCTTGAAAAAGACCAAGTGTGCTCAAATAAAAGAATTAGAAAAGAGCGTGACATCCAAGATAACAACTTTTTGAGGCTGGATTCATGCCACATGTTTGAGGTGAAAGGTAAACACTGTTAGTCTATCTGATAAAGTAATACATGTTTGACGTCAAAGGTTAAGGGCAATAATAGTGATGATATGTAATACACTCTAATTTCAAGTAAGAGAGACCACACCTTGCTGAAGTATAGCTTTCACTGGTGTTTATTTACACTGGGTCAGGGTAACAAAGGAACTAATGTGAGAAATTTAGAAGAAAACCAAGATTACATGTCATTATTTGGGCAACCTATAAGAATTTTGGGAGGAACCCAGAGATAAAGAAGTTCTGCTTTTCCTCATTCTCTCGCTTTGTTCTCTTTTGGGTGGCCTTTCTTTCACTCAGGCAAGCAATGTAGCTCCAAAGCCAGGAACCACTAAGCCATCTCTGGCCACACTGACTTTCTTTACCCTCAAGTGTGTGTTAAACTCTTGTTGCTCTGTTCCAGTCTGCAGAGTGCAGTCCTTCCCCATTAAAAACCTTCATGTTATGCAACAGCTCCAGCAGTAAGGGTCCACGTCAGACGTGCAGGCATCCAGTACCCCTGTTCGGTCTCTGCTCCGCCCCGACATTGGCCTGCACGGGAAGGAAAAACACAATAAGTTGCAGTCCAGACCAACAGAGGAATTCCCCCAGCCCCTGCCTTTGTGAGGCCAAATTATAATTAATCACAGGTTGTATTATCCAGTGCAGAGCGAATGGATGCCTTTCTCGGCCCATTTCTCGACACCTGCATCGGGAGGCGTCCCCGGAGCCTGCATGTATGTGTGTATGTTATGTTTGTATATGTGTGTGTGTGGTTGGAGGAACTTCTCCAGGGCCAGTAAAAAAAGAGAAACACACAACCCCAAAACAACTAAACACAAGGCAGCAGTGAAACCTCCGCCCAACAATCCTTATGAGTCAGCCTTGACTCGCAGTGGCCGCTTGATCCGCCTCTTCTCTTCTCCTTCGCTCTCAGTCCATCTCTGCTCTCCTCCTTCTTGACATCTTGACTTGCAGTCGGGAAATGGCACTTTTAAATGCATTATAAAGCACTGGGTTCCTGAAGGGTGGGCCTCTTTGTGTCACTGATTGGGTCAACAGGTTGGAGGATGTTCATGGGTTTGCATGTAAGAGGGAGTGGGGGGGACAATGGGGAGGACACGCTCATCTGGCAAAATCATTGAGGCTAATCCAGTTTTACATGTAAGTGTGAAATTTACACCAGAAACTGCCGTAAGACATTAATCAATTAATCGTTCAGCCGTTGTTAATATGACACATATATTCAACCCCTGAAACCTGCGTCTCAAAATCGATGAATCATCCACAAACAAACAGGTTTTGTTTAGTTGCTAGGTTTGAATAATGCTTAGCTTAAGGTAATTATTTCTTAATTGTAAAAACGACACATCTCAGCGAAGGCCAAAGGAAACAATGAACATGTAGGAAATTGTTTACAAGAGTTAAAAAAAAATCCATCCGCACAGCCCAGCCTTGATAAACATCTAGTGCTGCTGAAAGATTTTTGAAGCTGTAAGCCCCTGCTTACATAACTTCAAGCACTGTTATCCCAAATATGAACCTGTCTGTCTGTTATTATGACTGTCTGTGTGCTATTCTGTCTGTCTGTCTGTCTGTCTGCATGCCTACCTACCAGCTGTTATGTCTGTCCGCCTGCCTTCCTGTCTGTTTGTCTGTTTTGATTTGCGTCATTCCACTTGGTCACCAAGTTCATCTGTGCCATTCCCAAACACCCAGCACCCTCCCCAACCGCCTCAACCCCCTTCGCTTCGCTTCATCCATCTGACACCCAGCGGCTACTGCGGGCCTCTGCTGTGATGAAGAAAGACTCTCTGCTCTTCAGAGCTCCCATAATTAGAGACAAAGAAAGAAAGAAAGCTTTGGCACTCGTCGCTTTCGTCCGCCTCCTCTGCAGATACAGGTTGCAGCTACACATGAAAGAAATAATAATAAAATCCATCTCCTATATCTTTCTTTCTAGGCCGCCTCGTAAAAATGTTCAAAGTGATTGCAAACTTTAAAAACACTATTCCACATATTTCAGTTGACAACACAAAAGCCTTAATGGGTAAAAGGCATCTGTGTTACATTTTCCCCTTCTTTTTAACTAGTATGTGCCATTACTTCAGATTTACCAGCAGCTAAAGCCACCTTACCATCAATCGAACCTTGAAGCCAGGAGAAATAAGGCCTTAACAGGCGTTTAGATCCAAAAGAACACTGCATTAACAAAAACACAGCGCTGATGAAATGGGATCCAGGAACTCCAGTTTGAGTAACTGCAAAGATACTATGTAACTATGGGATTTTCTAACTCTGGACATTTATCTGAACAACAATGACTTTATATAAAAGCAATGAACAGAAGCCTTACAAAGTAATCTGAGTGCCTGCAGGTATCCGATTGGTCGCTGCAGCACCTTGCCATTTGACATGAAATTGCATTGCATCATAAGTTGAGTAAGAGTACATCTGTGCTCTTCATACATAAGTTGACATTGAAGAGAAATGAGGTCGTGAGGCCACCGAGAGGTGACAAAAAAAAAACTTCTCACAATGTGACAACTGCTACAACAAACTTGTACAAACTGAGAGTTTGACACAAAATGTTGCAGAATACCAGGGCCAACGTATTCATAGCGAGGACCACAGCATCAACAAGAAAGTGATTTATTAACAGAACGAAAATTATTGTATTATGCTTGATATTGAGTTTCTTGTATGCTGTTGGGTTGTGGCGAAGCTTCGGTGGGGAATCCACTGTAGCACCCATTAGGAGCCTTCGGATGGTAAGAAGGAGAGTAAGAAGTAATACATAGAAAAGGGGTGAGGGGGGAGGGGAATGCCGGAAGAGACCTGATTGAGGTGTGGTCCTGCTCCTGAAACCCCACCAACAGCTTCAATTAAACACAGATCACAACCAACATTTTATTAGACCGATCCAATCTAAGAGTGTGACAATGATCCTGTAAGATAGCTGTTATAGCACAAGGTAACATTACAGTACATTAAGTACAGAAAACTCAATCTGTTTTAAGCTTATCAGCTTTAAAGGTTGTGGTTATTGAAACGTTTAATAAAAACCTTTAATATGGTCCGAGGCGGGGCAGAGAGTAGTACGTGTTTTCCTGAACTGTGTCTTCCTCCTCCACTGTTATTCTCGACTCGATTACTTTGTTCCTGTACCTTTAAGAACAAGAAGAAGAGAGGGGAGGGGGCGAGAGAGGATGGGGAAAAGTGCAGTGGCAGAGAGAGAGAGAGAGAGAGAGAGAGAGAGAGAGAGGGAGGGAGGCGGTGGTAATGTTCTCATGTGTTTTCTTTCTGTGGGAAGTGGCACAGCCCCACCGCAGCATAAACACACACATGCATGAACACACGCCTGCCCATGTACACACACACACACACACACACACACACACACACACACACAGGAAGGCAGCACATTATTCTACGTGTGAGTGAGGGTCCCTATCCTCACGCAGTCGGGGAAGAGAGAGTCATGTTGATGACCATATTCCACAGCTGTGATCCCATCATGCTCTGCAGATATGGGAGAGGAAGGGATGACACAGAGGGGGAGTGAGACATTGAGAGATGGACAGGAGGGTGAAACATTTACTGGACAGAATTAGGAAGGTTGACAGGAACAGCAAGGTTGAGAAGAAGAAGAAGAAGAATAGGAGAATTTTCTGAGTGAAATATTTGTAGAGAGTGAAAGACCCCAGTGGTATTACTCTCACTGGAGGAATTTTCTTTGTCACTGATACATCACAGAAAAACATGGCTGTAATGTCACCACCAGTAGATCCCCCTTTGTTTCTGGGCGCTAACTGTGAGGAGGAATTGCTCTGGATTTTTCCAGTGCGGCTTCCTGCTTAGTTTTAGATGGGAACCACAAACAGCTAAGGCCCAACTCGATAGAGCCACACTGAAACATGTGGTTACATCCTATGCCTGCACACTCTCTCCTTCCATTATCCATTATCCACCATGCTCCACCCCGCCATCCTCTACTTCCCCACCACCACAATGTATTGGCTTTGCCTTCCTCAGACGTAGAGTCAAATTACCATGACAGTGCTGAGGAAGACGACAGGCTACAGTCGGGCCCCGGAGTGAGTGAGAAGTGAGAGTGGCAGCTAGCTGTTTCTGTAACAGGCTTTGCGGTACCCTGATCTCCTAAGCTGGACCCGGAGGGCCATGGAGAACCACAGCCACACTCTGATAAGGACCGACCAGGCGGCGGCGGGAGGAACATGGGCTGGCTGCGACTTGCAGGCAGGCGGTGAAATTGCATCATCAGCGTGAAGGCAGCCACCACGCCAAAAACACGCCTCGGTGGAACCCACAAAAACATGCCGTGCCAAGTCACTCCTCCTCCTCTTCTACCATTCCCACTCTCCATTTAGCAACCCCTCTCTCTCTAATACCACCCCTCATTTCCCTGCCCCCCCTACTCTGTCACATTTTTTAATTCTCTGTTCCAAAACATGCACATGAGCACGCTGCCAGCATGCGTGCCCACACTAGCGCGTGCATGCAGTCTGCATCACAGTTAGTCCCTGCTGCATGTCTCACACGCGCCTTCGTACGCCACTGCCAGGCAGCACAGAGCACTGTGACCTCCCACTGCCCCAAGGGCCAATGTGTACGTGTATGTGTGTGTATATATGTGTATGTGTGTGTTGCAGGGGGGGATGGGGTTTAAGCAGACGGGTAATGGGGGTTTTCACACCAGGGAGTCATGGATAGACAGTTGTCTGCTCCTCTGTGCCCTACAAGAGAGAACTAGTGCCATTATCAACATCATTCACTCCCCGAGCTTCACCACAGAGACCTTTGGCGATGAAAGTACCGATCACAAGTCGGTGAAGAAAATGAAACCTGCAACTTTTACAGCCGTTAAATATTTCACTTTATTTCAGAGTCATGACTGAGTCAACTGCGTCTCCTGCCTGCAATACGGATCCAGATTTTTCCAAACGTGTGATATTTTGAGCCTGAACACCTGAAAATAAAACATGACAAATCAGTTATCAATATAGAAATACCAAGTGGTATGATTGATATTTATAAAAAAAATTTAGTGACGGGTTAATGGAGACAGTGGAGTGAGAATAATGTGTTGTCAGCTGCGTTTTGTTCCAGCGGACTTGTCAGCTGCTTGTATTTGACTAACTTGGCTAAACTGTGTGTGATGCAAAGATGGGGTCACCAAGGGGACAGAGGAGCTGACACGATAGCTGGAGGTGTGTGTCGTGCAAGGGTGGGCGTAGGGGTGGGCGAGCAGACTGGATTGTGATCCTGTCAGTACAGCAGAGGGTGTGTGTGTGGGGGGTGGGGGGTGGCGAAGGGCTCAATGATATGAATAATACCACACAGAAAGTAAACAGCCATTCTTAACGTTCTTAACACCTACACCAGCCGACTGGCAGATAGAGTTGGTGGGAGGGAGAGGGAGAGACAAAAGCAAACACAGGGAAGAAGATCAGGAGACACTTCTGTATGAAGTTTTCCTAATTTTTTAAGCTCCCAAAATAGCCACAGTGGGATGATGAATTTAGAGCTGCCTGTGTTGTCAGGAGAGTAGGATGGAGGTATTGTTTGGTTCCCTTCTCCTCCCTCCTCCCCTCTTTTTTTGCACTTAAACATCTCGATAGATAGACCCACGGGAGCCTGTCTCCTGCACGAACCCTGCTCCTGCTTTAAATTGCACTGTAAAAGTCTTGAAGTCTATGAGACGGCAGCAGGGACGGCACACTGAAGCTTTTGTCTCAGTGCGCACCACTGTGAAGAGTAAAATCAAAACCAACGCCATGGGATGCCGGGGGAATGCCACCGCATGCTCCACACTGAGGTGGAGGCTCGGCAAGATGCTCACCAGGGCTTTTTGGGTTATATGAGAAAAGCATCCTGGTGAGTGTGTGCATGTTTCTTTGTGTGTGTGTGTGTGTGTGTGTGTGTGTGTGTCAGGAATGTAGCATCCCTCCCTCTCACTCTTTTTCCCTCTACCTCAGCTTCACTCAAAGTGGCTCAAACTAAAAACGGGTGTTTTAAGAAGTAAGGAGGGATTTTGCAGTTTTGCAGTGACTGTATTTCTGTGTGTGTGTGTGTGTGTGCGCGTGTGTGTTTTGTATGTGTGCTTGCATGCTTCAGTACATGTGTGTATGTTACGTGGAAGGGGGTGTCAGCCTTGCAGAAAATAGGTTGACGTGACCTACATATCCATGTGGCTTCTTATTAGCATACACCCATATTTTACACAGACACACTCTTGTATATTGGCGCACACACACACACACACACACACACACACACACATCAGATAACAGTGAGACAGCCAAGAAGAAGGCTATTTACATTATTTGCATTGTGTCCTTTGTTTGCCTTTAACCGTCTCAACACCAGAGCAGATGGCGCTCTGACACACGCATACACACGTGTGTGTGGTAGGCGGTAGATGGACACCATGAATGAACGTAATGAACAAGTAACCCCGTGGCCAACAATTTCCGTTTTGAGGATTGCACAACAAACAATTCACAAGATGAAGCTCACATCATCATACAGGACTGACACCATCAAAACTGATAAATAGATGACACCATAGGGAGTGTAAGGTAAATGTGAGGTTAAGCCAATATACACAAAAAGAAAACAACCTTCAACTGTCCCCAAACACATAAATGACAAGCAAATATTGGTTGTTGTCAAACGTCCTAAATCGAGCTGCATTTATGTTTATCTGACAAGAACTTGCATTAACTTTATC